TGAAAGATAATTACGTAATAAATAACATAATCTGTAAAATACATAATAATGAAATAAGAAAATTGCTACTGTATAGTGGATAATATTTTGAGAAAAGGAAAAAAATAAAAACAAAGTTCCATCATAGAAAGCGTATGTGTATGTGAAAATACATTGGATTTTGTGTATAATGGTTTAATACAATGATGATGGAATTTCGAAATGTTGTCCTAGTGACGATCACCTCGTTGTCGTAATAACCTGGAAAAGAAGGCAAGAAATTGTCAAAAAATAGAAAACAATAAATAGCATGGAGCTAGGCGAACCATAAACCATTATGATGTACCTCGTTTGTATTATATCCCGGATATTGTTTCCTGATATTATCACATAACGCGAAGAAATCAGTACTGATTATAATCATGATTACAAATTCCCTAGTATATGTAGCCAGGAGCGCGTAGAGTATACTGATTTTATTGAACTACTGTCAAAACAGTTAAATTTCAGCACACGTTCCATTCACAATATCTATGTGATAGGATGTTACTTGAAAATGTAAAAGCTCATGTCTATACAGCTTAAACCAAATTCAACGATGAGAACAGTTTCACTAAAGATAAAAGTCCTGAGGTTAGAATCAATGATATACACAAAACTTCTGGATCTCAATGAAAAGATGAAAAACAAATACAATATGATTACCAGCGAATAAAAAGGGTGTTTTATTATTGTGTAGGTAGAGGTTCAAATGGAAAACTGGAAAGTGACCACCTAAGGAACCATCCACTTCAACTTTGACACATAAAATAAAACGCGTTTCCGAAAAAGTAGCGACATTCTTCTGTTCTTAAAAAGGCTTGAAATATTAAACTATAACATATAGATTTCTAAGCATGTCTATTTCATCTTAAGTGTTATACTCATCCATATAGTCTACAGTATTTTTTAGCAAAAAGAAAGGATTATGATGAAAATATACATATGCAAAGCTTCACCATTTAACCTATTATTTAAGGTAATAGTATCTTGTGTTAATAAATATAATTTGTGTACTAGGAACAATCGGAATATAGTGGTTTGTTATTGTTTTGGTTTAGAGAATGTAGTGTAAATTAAGAAAACAAAATGATAACCAAGTGATCAAAAACAAATCAAATGTCAACTATAAATAATTCTTATAATTATGTAATTAGTTTATCAAGAACAGATTTCTATACATAGCTTTGATTCACACGGTTTGTGTAGGAACTAATTATATTAAATGGTTAATAAAACTGGAATAGGAGAGATTCTGCAGATCACCAAATTATTGTTGCATAAATAAAACTTCAATGTAAAATTAAGAACATTTTAACTGGAACAAGATTATTTAGACATATAAACATTGGTACAGAGATGCACCAAATAGATAAGCGTCACACAAATCGAAAGATTCGTGTGAGGGCTGGAATACTGACCGGACGCGCAAACCGAAGCAGGAGCAGACTAGGCATTATTATACACATAAACATGTAAGCGACATGTTTGTAGAAACATTAATCTTATAGTAACATGAAAATCTACTTTAAAGCAGACAAAAGTACAGATTATAAATGATCAGATTTTAACGATTGCAAAGGAACTAAAAAGTAATTATATGGATTGATTTTTTAAGTCCCATTTTAATTCTCTTAAAAAGTGTTTTCATTGACATAGTAAATCTCTAAAAAAACTCCGTATTCCTAAAATCTATTAATCCAGGTTTTTCCAGAAAGGTTCGTATAATCTCCCTAGACGTAATTGTTTTAAGAAAACTGGTTACACTAATACGACAAGTAAACTAATAAAAACTTGCCAATTCCGTGTTTTCCATACTATTAAATTCAATATTACAACCGAAAACTATGTATTACTATGTTTCTACTTCGATTGAAATGGTAGTAAAACTTGAAGAATAGGAGCCATGCATCTACTAACCATTTATTTATCCTACTTGCAACTTTTGACAATTTCCATAACTTGACGGTAAGACTAAATACAATGAGGAGCAACAAACCAAAATAAGAATGTGTAGATAACCAGATGACTACCACAGACAATATTTATTTATGAAGATACACTTCATATTCACAAATGTTTCAAGATGCATGTAATCACTCAATTCTCTTCACGGTTAGAAATAATCTACCGATCAATGACTAGTAGTCTATAAGAGATACATCTGATTGCCTGGACCTCAGAAACTGATGTAAGAAAATTAAAAAACAGCAACTTGAGTTGCTTATCATGACTGAACTTGAAATACTCATAGCAATGAAATGTAAAGTTTTTTATTGAAGTACGGTCGCTTCTAATTGAAAACGATTGGGTACGCTTTTTACACATAAAGATTTACGCCAACTAGTTAAATCGGATGACTGATACAGAACTTGGACAATAATCCCCCAGCGCGATGGAAGACAGGAAGAAGTCAGAAGAAGCTTGATACTCAAGAAAGTTAAATCCGAGGCACAATAATTGTGTTAAAGCACGGAAACATTACTATGAGACACAGCAAAACTAGGGAACTAAAAATGGCAACAACCAACCAAACAGCATCAAAAGTCAATGTGGATTCAGAAATAAGTTATCGCAGTTATCTTTACAGAGAGATGACTAGAATTTATTAACGCAAACCTTGATAATCTGAAGTTTACCTGGAAGGAGCCATAATCTATGAAATATTATTATTCAAACGAAACTTAAGTTTATAATTTCTGATTATCATTTAACTTCAATTCATTTGTGATGAAACATATGCATGCGCGCATATTAAGTTGCAGCATTTGAACAATCTTGGTCAAAGATGCACAAGGTTCTGAACTAATTTAATTGAGAGAAATAAACATATCCAGCACCATATTATAAAAACAAGATATAACTAGAAAATAGTTAGCTTTCAGGAATAAATTTACTCCTCAGTAAACAACTTACATATTCTCACTCGCTTCATCAATTCCATATGCTGCATTTGGCGTTTTGCTAGATGTGACCAAATTTTCTTCAGCTTCTTCTCGTTTAGTACGCTCACGGCGTTTTAATTCATAAATTAAAATAATTATGAACAAAACTACCACCTCTAGGATAATACCAATTAAAGGCCATAGAGGAGCACGACGATCTATATTGCAAACAAACAATAAGCAGACACGTTAAAAATACTTTAACATGATGTAGACGAAACTTGTTTATGCAGTTACATTGAATCTTTTTCAAACTTTAATAATTACTGTTGCTGACTATTATATGAAAATATAAGGTGTTTTATGATTATAAGCATCACAACTTCGAATCAAAATTATGAAAACAATAGCAATTACATAATATCTAAACCGTCTGATTGATATAAAAACGTCATGTACTGAATGAAAGATAGGGTTCGATAATACCCTATTTTCGTGTTAGGTTCGACGTATAGTTGCAGAATACCAATTACTCAGAGTCATATCACGTCTACACATTTTACGAGAAGCCAATAATTAGAAACATGAGATGGTACGGTGAAGAATCGGTTGTAAGAATAACAATTTCATTGTGAAGACATTTACAACGATCTCATAACTTACAGACAATTTATTATTGGACTGGCTGACAAAATTTGAAATTTGATACATAATAATGTGATACATACAACTCTATGTAAGGGGGTCTTAGAAGTCAGTAAATTTTCCCAAAAGTGTATTGATTTTCGATTTCTACATGTCCTTATATTATGCTCTAATAATTTATGGAACTGTTGATAACAACCAATCTTAAAAACATAAAGTTTTGTTAGCTAGCAGATAGGCTTTAGGAACTACTACAACAGAGTTATCCAGAATACGTTCGAGCCTTATACACACTAAATCAGTTTTACTGTGACCACGTATATCTCTATATATAAGTTTCAATGAGCAACGGCTTAATCGATTGGAGTGGGACTGACATATGAAATTGATCGTCTGTGACATATAATCACATCTTGAGGAATGATTATGCAACTTAATCAAATAGCTATATCTGTCGGTTATAGATGCTTGAATGTAAGATATCGAATTTGTATTCACATAGTAAGTTATTGAGTAACTGATGTTAAATGCTACTGTTTCAAACTATACAAATCTCATTGTTAATTTAGCTGTAAATAAGGCTAATAAATTAGCCTTGTGTTTTCATTATGCAATGTTGGATTTAGGAGTTCAGTACAAAAAACAAGCATAACAATTCACACATAACTAATTCGACAAACAGGAAATCCAAATTTATATCAGTTAGCTGATAACTTTACACTAACAGTTTACAGCTCAATACTGAACACTCAGAGAATACGCACAAGTATTTACAATTCGATGGGTAATACCAAAAGAACATTACTTATTTAACTAGTCTTATACTAGATTTTCAATGACTTTAATAGGTCTTAATGAAGTGAATAATTTTTATGCTTCCATCAATTATCTAAGTGAAAGATCAAGACAACCACCGATATAATGATAAATACATAGGGACAATACGAATGACGATTTACTAATCCTAATAACTTGTAATCATTAATATGAAATTTATTTTACTGAAGCGAAATAATAATGTTCAATAGAAATTTCCAAGTCATTCACAATGCATGATTCAAGAAATCTTAACAAAATGTTTAATTCACAGTTGTGATTAGAAGATAAAACTAGTTTCAGACGAAAATAAATTAAACCTAAGTTTGATAATTTAAAAAAAAGTACGGAAAACCAAAGATCTAATATATGGTGTGAGTTTTTGCTTTTGACGAAATGAACATAACAAATTACCAAGAAGCTTCGATAAAAATTCATCAACAATATTAAAATAGAATCGATCAAATTTACTACGTCAAAAAAGCGTTACAATGTTACGAATTAAATAGCAGACAAAAATTAGGATTGAAAATAGCACATTCATACTGCTGAGAGAAGTCATGAAAACTGCAATTTTTTTGTTAGGCTCATATATATATATATATATATATATATATATATATTGAAATTAGACAACAGAACAATAATAGTGGATTTGTTTTCCCATCTAAGACTGGTGTGAGGTGTTGGTTGACTACATGCTATGAAATAAATATTTATCTAGATTAAAAAATTATACAAAATAGAAGATATATGAGCGGACAATTGTTTTCAACAACTTCATTATTAGGTTATAGTTATAAGTTCATAATTATAATATCTTACAAAAGCCAAAATAAGGCATTCATTAATGAATTTGACAATGTTATGTGTTAAAAATGGTGAACGTTTGCATCTGTTACGACATATATACTCCAAAATGGTGTTATTTGTAAATTAGAAAGGTCAGAATGATTTGTAGTAAAATGTCAAGTCATAATCAGTATAATAGTAATGTAAAAAAAATAAAAAAAATGTGTGAGTAAAATGAATAATAGGAGAATTCCATCTTATTAATCGAGGTGATAATAATAATATCGCTGTATGAACATATGTAATGAGAGGTGATCCAGTCGTGGGCCAAGGTAAACATAGAGGCTAAATATAACTCTTCTGGACACATAAGTTCGATTTTCTGGAGTTGATCCAGATGGCTTCGGCTATATAGAATAGCCGCAATCTAGCTCCTTGAAGTAGATTCTTTGGAAATTGATACAAAACAGAGTAGCTTTGCCAACTCGCGTCACTAATGATGCAGGCGAGATATCCATCTGCTCAACAGTTTTCTCCGTTCTACTTGATGGATGTGATACATAGCCTAATGGCTACGTGGAGTAGAGTATATTCATAAGTTACTAGTATTTGAAGCATTGCTCGTGTATTTTGGGACCATAGAGTAAATAATGTTTGGGTTAAGAGTAGAGTACTAGGTAAAGATGGGGAATCAAATGATGAGGTAGCAAATTTTCATCAATTGAGATGGCGGAGACATGTGTTACGCATGCCCAACCACCTCCTACCTTGACGGATAATGTCTTTCGGAGCAGTAGTCAGGAGAAACGATAGGAACAGCCAAACCCTGATATCTGTTCATGAAGTCACTGACAATCAGGCTGACTCGTGTTAATAGGTACAGACTACCTGGTTGGGATCCGCGTGATTATCGTAACCAATGATTATAGACTTCGAATGACATGACTCAAAGTCATTTGCAATGGTGAAGGTGCATCCATTCTTTAGATTCCCCTAAATCCTGAAATTCTATATTCTTCATAAATTTATATTTTTATTTCGCCAATTTATATTTTCTTTTCGAGTCGCATCTTCAATGTCTAGTCTTTCCTATTACTACGGACATTGTTAATACCTTTACTATTCTGAGATTTGGCCTGACAACTTAATCTCTTTGTGTTAATAGGGTATGGAGACTTGAAAAAACGTATGCACGTACAGGTTCTACGTTGTGAATGACTGACTGCCGTGTATACAAGATAAGTCTAAGTAAAGAGTAGTCTCTTTAGAAAAACAATTATTAAAACTATAGAATTCAAACAGACTGGGCAGAGAATATTTACGTACAAACCATTCTCATGATTTGAAGATTTTAGATCTACATTCTGCACACTTTCATCACATATTCACAGACTGAATATACTGGTTTCTGACACATTAAATTCATATGAAAAATAAGAACTGAGTTCCTTACAGCATTTATCTGCAAAGAACAAACCTTTGAAGTATAAAACCAAACAACCCCCTGTATATTCATGTCACCACAGTTCTCAGCAATACATACATCAAAATGTTAGGACAAACAAGAAAAATATGATGAAAAACGAAGAAAAAGAGTGAGAATAAGCTTTTAAAAAATATCACTAGTTAGAATACATTTCCAGACTATAAAATGTTCACTTAATGTTACACGTATTAGGAAAACATATTACTGCCATGTATTTTTTGAATGATTAATATCTTATCGACAAACGAATCGAAACAGGCTACATTATTTCGTAAACAAAAAAACTTTGTTGATTGAATTCATATTGTCTTGTATTAGACATTTAACCATATAAAGTTGAATATTTCTATCAGAAAAATTTAGTTTGAAATAGAAACCAACCTTTTACTCGTAAAAAGAAAGCTGCTGTATCATTTCCAAATGCTCCACGAACAAAACATGAATAGACAGCTCTATCATCTGGTTGTATTGTATCGAATACAATTTGATCATTGAGAACGTTTTTACTTTCAAAATGTATACGATTTTCAGAATTATCATGAACAGGAATTCGACCATTATGTTGGATTACTAGAGGAACATCATTCCTCATCCATGAAATAGGTTCAGTGATTGGTGGGTAGGCAATAATATCACAGAAGTAAGTGTATTTCACACCAGAATAAAGATTTACACTACGTTCATTTTTGTGTATTAATGGTGGAACTTGATATGTATATAAGAAAAAATTTTCCAGTATGAAGATATAAGGAAAAAAATAAATCAGTTTAACAGTTAATTTAAAGTCATAGCATCAATTAAAATTAATTATTAGTAAATAAGTCACTAAGAACAATTACTTTTTGTACAACAATACTATTTAAAAAATTCTACACAGATACAATTGATCAGTATTATGAATATCAAGACGTAGAAGATTTGTAGTTCAGGTGAACGGTTCTGGTTGAGTTTCGTTCTCTGAGCTCGATGACTTAGTTGTAGAACCTTCATCGTTCGTCCGGGCAACACCATTAGCACAAGCTTTGAGTAGATGCTCGACGATTAAGCCATCCACTTCAAAGAGCAAAACTCCACCGGAAAGTACGGATAGCAAATCATGTTCAAGAGTAAATTTAAGATGTAGTATGTTGAGATTGTAATAATTCCCAAGTCCAACTTGAAAAACTGAAACGCTTCCCAGTTTAAACGTGTAGTTCATCTCAACGTTCATCACACAACCTACAAATAGTGATAGTTGCTCTTCCCCTAAATTAAATCGAAACCTATTTATACATGTTGATGAAAACTTACAGCTTAACATAGATAATCGTACACTTTTGATGAAACGGATAAACTGTTTATATAATACTTCAAATAACACTTCCTTGTTCAGTAATATTTTATTTTCGGTGATTTTACATATTTTCTTAACCTTTATCCAACCTTTTTAGACACACTAATTGTTAATAATTTCATTCTTTTTTCTTTGTTACTTGCCGTCTACTCAACGCATTACCGAAATTCTTTATTACTTTTGTCTAACTGTGTTATGTCTTGTGACCTTGTGCCCTATTAATATATTACACAATGATATCGCCAATTAAAGAACAGTAATTTATCGACCGGACCAATGACGCATAAAATCCATACGAGCAGTCTAGAGTCTTTATCGGTCCTTCTTCCTGCCTAGACCTGCCTGTTAAGTCCAGCACACCGCTGTCAGCTTCTGCAATACGAATCAAGTATTTTAAATATATTGGGTTTATGTACAAACCAAACAGACCACATCGTACTATAAAAAGAAAATAACACGTACAAGATCTAGCCAAAAGTATCTGTGAATATGGAAGACTGTAATTAATAGACTGAGCACAACTCAACAACGGTAAATCGTATAATAATAGTTTATAGGTCAAAAGAAAGCATGTAATAAAATTATAGATATACACAATCTAGCTACTAGATAGCTATACATTAATATACGTATAACACTTGTCCATAAATAGTTCTCAAAAGTTGTTAACATTCATAATTCTCATCGGGACATAACAGTAAACAAATAAGATATGTACAGAGAATGGTTGATATGAATCCAAACAACATACGCATGTAACAAAATCTAGCAGTATAAAGGTCTTTATAATTGAACTATATGATTTATTATGTATTGCTTTGATTTCTTATTATTTATACGAAAATGTATTAAAATTCACCGAACATTTACTCTTCCTATCTAGTCTGGATAAAAAAGAAAACAGCCAGTTATCAGGGAGACGCCAGGATATGAATCATATGTGCGTGCACGTACACTTGTAATTATGTATGGTTGTAACAATGGATTATAATCAATCAGGTATTTTGGAGATTACTAGATTTTCATCATGAAGTGATCATAGTTATACTATCACTGACGACTGTTCAGTGCTACCTGGTTTACAGTGGTGGTCTAATCAAGATTAGTCCCGGATGTAAACTATGAAAACATGACTAATTAGGAATTAAGCATTAATACCAATTAATGACAACTTTGTAAGTAACTGCTACATGATCTCTTAATTTACTTAATCAACTGCAAAACAACATTGTTTGGTATTTTTCGGTATTCTTCAGACTAAAAAGGTTTGAATTTTTCGAACCGTGGTCACAACGGGTGATGGTCGAATGACCGAAATAGCGCAGCTTTAACTCGTAACTGGGATTTTTATCACGAGTGATTTACTCTCTAACTCAATTATTAACAACTAAAGATAAAACGAGAAAGAATAAGGATTGTTAAATGCCGGCCCTGCGATGGTTAATGAAAATACAACTGAGTACTTGTAGGATTTTCACTGAGACGAGTCTCTAAAATTTTGAAGTTAACGAAGATAAAGTTTCGTCAATAGTTTAAAAGCTTCAAAACGAGTGTGAATAAAAGCACATTTTAGCAGGTTCTAATGGGGTAGCCTGAATTCACAGTATTTTAAAGTTTAAATTAATGAATTTCAAGAAATCCGATAATTATTAAGAGGATCATGCGATGAGTTGTGGCGCTACCTAGTGAATTTTTACCGGATAATCTACTATTTCGGCAGTAATAAATATTTCCTAGCAATATAAATACCTACTTTGGTCATTCAATGAAGAAACCTGAACGACCAATTTTTAACTACCATTTCTACATAAATATTAATATAGTATTACAATAAATTATCAAAAAACTAGCTCACTGCTTATTTGTAATTCAGCTGTCTCCATAGTACCAGGCACAATATTGAACATGCAATAATATTTTCCGTACAGTTCTTGGTCATAGGCTATGTTAAGAGTAACAATTCCAAACGATAAACAAATCATATTTCGTAAAATATACAGGAACCTGGTAAAATCATACGTTAAAACTCAATAAAAACAAGCATCAGTGTTAACTAAGGTAGTTTCTATTTCTAAAACGGATTTAATTACGATTGAATAGAAACTTCTTAACCTTAACAATATTTTCCATACTATGCGACATGAAACCCTCACCCTCCATAAAACCTTGAATGACACAGATATGTACTTCTGAACGTAAAAGGACTAATTTATTCCTCTATTCACTAGCGCAAAACCAATGGAAAAATAAATCTGAAAAGTAGCTAAATCATAGATCAATCAACTGAGACAATAAATAAGTAGTCTTTAGTGAGGCCCTTCAGTTTGACGTCACTTAGATCGAAAGATGTTATCGACGGGCTCCCCACTTTAGTGGCTTGATGTCAGACTCCAATTGGATCGTATGGATGTTATTGAAATACACATGTCGGTTATCCTTGAATGTAATAAACAACTTCGTTCGTGTTAGTGGATAATGGAAGTAAATAAGCCAAATACGAGAATGGATTTTTGAACACATATTCTGTATACTCACTGATCTGGACAGGCAATCAGAGGGACGAAGAGAAGAGAATGAAGCGAAATGAAGCACAGTGGAGAAGACATGTAAGTCAACTCTAGTTAATCGAGCGCTAATTTATGGAAAGGTAAAAATAGGTTACAGATATTTGACGAATATGATAAGAAGTCTACACACATACGCTCATATTAAAACAGTCAAGGCTGATAAGTGAATAACTCACAAGGCTAAAACGTGACTCAAGAAGAATAGATAAATTGGCCTGTCCAGAAGCTGGAATAAACTATATGGGCTTAACATAGTAACTGACACTAAAAGCCAATTAAACAGCAATGAGTATGATTAGAATTTATGAAGCCGTTACTATCGCGATAAGCCTGTTGTTCAATTTAAAGTACTATAATACAAGTGTGAAGAATAGTGGTTTTTATTCGCCGTAGAGTCAAATACAGAATATGCGATACGTAATAAGATGTTGACAACCAAAATTGAAAGACACTCAAGTACTAGACACTTAGGAAAGTTGATTGCCTCCAACCTCGCAAATAATTTGAAAATTCTTGTTTTTAATGACTCGCTACTTCACGTTATCGTGATATGAAGATTTCAAAAGTAACGTTTGAGTGTGACTAATGAATAATTTGTTAAGTCTCTATAAGAGCATAAGTGTGTAAGACAAAAGATATGTACTATCGAATCATTAGCCTAGTAAATGTTTGTGTACTAGGCTATAGGTCACAATTGTTATGTAAAAACCGGAAACACAATATGCTTATATATAAAAGTACATAGAGTGGAAATGGAGCCTGTCACCAGTGATCGTAAATCAAGTGATTGGGTTAATGTCACTAGACGAAAAAATCTTTACACTTGTGACAAGTATCAGGTTATATGAATTATCAAGCTTAGGGATGAAATATGAAGTATTATAGAACAAGTGGAGTGAAATCATCAAGCTTACAAGGATGAAGCAATGTCAAATTACTCCATATAATGCCAGACTTTTCGTCTCGACTCTCAGTAACTTTGTAAAGATTGGGTTTAACATGATACTTTCCGCCTCTCCAACGGACAGTAGTGTATCGTATACCGTTTGAACCAACTCGGAATTCACACGCAACAACAGGATGATAACTTGAATTGATTGTGTTAATCTGAAGGCTGTAAGCACCAACCACCTCATGTTTTTTTATCAATTGGACAGTACTACTAATCTTGTTTAAAACTAAACAGGAAACTGAATTATTAACATAAAAATACCTCCATAAACGTGAACATCTATCTGACGACTGGCAAGTCCATTAGTACACTGATATACGCCCGACATATTAAACTGAACGCTGACGAGCAGCAACGATACTTCTTCATTTTTTTGAGACGAAATGGTAATATGGCCTGTATTATTTAGTGGCGTAAACGTTCCATCTTGTGATGGTGCATACAGCCATCTTAGAAGATGTTCGTCAGATACTGTACGGCAAATTAAAGTGACGTAGGAATTGTAAACAATAGCAATACCATCTAATTCTTTTTGGTTGCCATTGGTATCTAGTACAATAATTTCTGGTGTAACTGAACCTAAAAAAAACTTCGTATTAGTAGTTGCAGATAATAAACTTATAAAGCTTATGCACACAAAATGTTAGAAAACGTTATGCAGAATATGAAGTACCGAAAATTGTGCAACACTGCGAGACTATAATTTATGGACGAACCAATGAGATATAAGACAGAGTCACGAATTTGGGCACGGAATTCATCCATACATATGGCTAATTAGTTTTGGCATTATAGCTGATGTCAGTTCGTGATGAAAACCTTAAATCTAATTTTTAACAATAACCATGAACTGCAATTGGGAATTATAACTGTTATATAACCCTCATTTAGTCCTAATCAGTAGGCGTCCACTCTAAAGTCACTTCAGCTTCGTTCAAAGGTTTTCTGGAAATTATCGTCTCACCCAATTCACTAATGACATTATTGTCATGAAAGCAATCATAATATATTTCAACAAAATGCTAAATTGCAGTTGATTAATTATAAATAACGATCTCCACTACTTTGCAGCGCCACTGAAAAGAAAAAAATCGCGAGCAGGGCCGATACCTAGTGTTTATTAGGATAAAAGAGAAATTTTGTAAAATTAATAAGTACAAATAACTGGAAACAAAGTCCCGTGCCAACAACCTTAGAGCAGGTATAATGAATTAACATAATATCTTGAGTGTTTTCCCTAAAGAATGAATGGCTATCAAAAAACTATACATTTGTACTTACGGAATTCAATGGCTAACAAATTAAATCGGTCAAAATTATACAAATTGAGCAAAATAAAACAATATGAAGTATTATAGACAAGAAAAAAAGCCATAAATTAAATTACATAACTCTGAAACATCTTGACGAACGATACTCAATATTTTTGCATTATCATAGTGATCACTACGACATCTGAAAATTACACTCCTACCTAACCACATACCACAAATCTCACAAAGATCCAAACAATATTATGAAATGCTAATATCTTTTACCTATCTGAGATGACTTGTAGATTAACGAGGTAAGAACTAGAAATGTCATCAAACAACCCCTCCCCTGCCCTTCAGACATTTTAATAAACCCGCCTTGGCCTTGGCACATTAAAACCTCTTGAGTTCTAAATCAAGAAAACAAGTCGTGATGGACTTGATGACAATACCAGTACTTCCCTCAGGATTATACATTTTTTTGAAAGCACTAGCAGATGAGATCGTAGTGACATGTACATCTGATGACGTTTCGGTGTACAATAAAAATGTCTCAACATTATAATTGAATATCATCTCATAAATATCATATCTACTTTCTTAAGTGTAATCGTTTTTAAAATATCAGATATTTTTCCTTTACCAGACTACGATTTTCTATAAATTAGTACTCAGTTTTTCAGTCTGCAGATAAATACTAATTAATGCTACTCCATGTTCTACTTCATTAACCACAGCCGTTAATCAAAGAGTTTATTGTTGTGCACTCTCTTCAGCTTCCCTTCGTTACGCGTGATGATCACCATAGGATCTATGCTCGTTTGTCAAGCCACTATATTTTGACCAAATTTTCGATTAAATCGTTCAATCTAAGTATAACGAATTTTCGAATGCTCATAAGTGTATAACCTTGCGGTTATCGATATTTAGGTCAATATGTTATCCTAATTTAACAAACTGAAAAACTGTTACTTCGTGTTGAATGACGTCTTAATTTTAGCTATGTTTTTGTTAGGTTATCTGACATCCTTCTAACTGTCAGACAGTTCAACTACTCAGGAACTGAAAACAAAGTTCAAACAGTTCAAGTGTTTCAAATGATTAAAGATACAACAGAAAGAGCTTTCGCTTAACGAGCTTCTCTAATTTGTAGTAATGGATCACAGGTGCTTCCAATGCATAAGAAATAAGCAGAAATGAATATTTTACTAATGAACTAGTATGAGTCTGTAGATCGCAAACATATATGATCTGCGTCGACGATTGGTGGTCTATCCAATTTGAACGTCGTGACCCCACCCACGGTTAATACGCGATGTAGATTACTCTTTCGTCGTATGCAGGTACTATGGCTAATTTGATGACAGTACAATACATACAAAGATGATCTGAGAGCCAAATGATTCAGTCAGGACCCAGTGACATTTATGTAACCCTGCAAGCCGTTATTTTTTACCCCCAACAGTGTACCAGTCTTCCGGTTGAAAGATGTGCAAAACGTTTCCTGAACTTTCTTAGCTGGTGGAACAATCGAGACTTGGACCTTTACAAAGCAGTGAAAAGTTAAACTACAATCTATTCTCATATATTTTACATTTGGCTCACGATATTTTCCTCCAAACTTTGTGCTGAAAATGAAATTTTGCTAATATTTCGGATGATGGAAAAGGGTATTTAAGAAATTCTATATGATGTAATCAGAAAGAATCACAAACATCTGAAATGGTAACTTATTAGGCTCGAGATTCATTCCGTGAACTTATTACTTTACATACTTTTCGGTACATTTCAGAGCATCCTCATAATTACTGGCTGGAGGAGTAAGAACTAGGTCTCTATGCTTTAGATAAAAACGAATAAAACTGTAGAAACCTAGGTGAAAGATATCCACATTCAATTAAGACTAATCAGGGACTACTTCAAGGTTTGCTTTAGTGACATTTTTGTCACAGGTCGCCAGATGTATTAAAAATAAATTTTTCTTACAACTGACCATTGATTACGACCAATTAGATAGTTTCAGAGAGAAAGGTAAACAGTCTACTTACAATAATAATAGCTGATTCTCAAATAATAGACTGGTAAGTGAGGAATGCCAATATCACATTTTTACTGACAACTAAATCGCGATTAATAATGATGAATTATGTGAAATTCGGTCTAGTTTACAATCATTATTTTTATAACTTTAAAAATATTTTTAAGGGTATTTCATTTTGTCAGTCCGTATTTTTAGGCAGTTCTCTTATTATTATTATTATTATTTGTTCTGCAAAAACAGAATTCATTGGGGCTACATTGTTATAGTTGTTGTATCACTGCGAGAGTCTGGATATATTCCTCGTCAATATCTCCAGGAGCCTGTAGAATTATGGTCTACTATGATATTAGTACTGCTCTAATAATAGACCTAATCCTGAAATTGTAGATTTGTCATGATATAACTGCCTAATCTATAAGATCTTACGTGGAAGTCACACCATCGGCTACATCAACTCACTGTATCGTATCAATTACCAGTACATTATGTAGAACAAGGTTAGGCTAGAGAAGGAACAATATATTAAATATGAATAGAAGATATAAGGTAACATTCAGCAGAGACTACGCCTGCATGGCCGAGCCATGCCACTCGATCAACTCCAGTCCATTCAATTCATTCTCCGCGCCTTCTCCATTGTTAGGTATTTCCCCGAGTTAAATATTGAATATCTATTTTCTGAGTAGTCTCGTGTTCACAGCTTTGTGGATTGTGTGGCTATTGTCCAATGCCACTACAAGCCCATTAGATGCTGCAAAAAGTTTTAAACAATTAGCCTTGAGTAGAGGCCTGCGCGAAATACCTAGAAATAAAAAAGTCACATGTCTTGCTTCGATTGGGTGCTTGCCTACATTTTCACCGTAGCTAGCATATTTCCAAAAATTTGTGGGGAGTAGAGGTCACTCATCCTCAATTTCCCGTATCACGGAATGAGTAACCCAGAAAAAAATCCCGAAAACACATTTCGTGTTTGTTCTTTATTATAACATTTGATTCGCGAAAACATTTTCGATTTGTTGCAAGGTATTAATGACAGACTTGTCAAGTCCGATTATGATATACGCAGCCGACTACATTAATGATGTCAGCCTTAAAGTTCTCGTCCAATTGTGAAGTTTTGAGAAAACTAAGATTTACCAGGTTGAATTAACAGCCCTAACTAGAGTTACAACAAAAGTGATTGCACTGAACAACATAACCGATTACTATTGAAAAACCGTCCCATTGACTACTGATGTAAGGAACATTTTTAGTAGTTGGCTCTCTCCTCCTTTTTTACTTTAACGGTCATGACAAACCGTGATAGAATAATGGCATTTGAACTAACGGAAATGAGTAGGCACAGGATTCCAAGGTCATCAGAAGCAAAATTGTTGGACACACACTGATACACCGAATTCTTAGAAAAATTCCTTAATCAAAGAATATTGTCAATAGTTTATGATAGACACAAGCAAAATTGAAGATGTGTTACTGTCGGGACTTGAAGATAGGTTCTATTTTGCATGTAACTATATCACTGCAATATATAAGTTTGCTAGTGTACACTGTTCCTAAGGGTTATAGGTAGAAATTGCAACTTCACAAAGTTCCACATGTTCGCGAGCCAAAAAATTCTCGCAGGTCGTCCTTTATAAAGTTCTTGTAAGCCGTCCATTTCAACTCTTGAAAAATTATCTCGCAACATTGTCACTCGTGAAAAGAAATAAAACCTGCTAAACTAAGATGAATCTCACATCAAATCAGGCACATTTTCAGCATCAGAATATCAAACGAGCGTCCGCCATCTTACCTCGAACATATTTTTTCTGCAAACGAAATGAATGACACGGGGCACCTGTCCTGGAATAACGTCTTAAGGTCTTACTATTTTTTTGGCAGATAGGACACCTAGAAATATGGAGTCGTACTTTCCTCCTTCTATTGTGAAGGTTATTGTCCGCTTGACTCAATTAAATTTTCGTAGTAGGTTCTGAGCTTCGCTATAGTCTTTTGTAACTATAACTGTACCGTACATGAAGCGACAATAAAATCCTAGTGCGCCTAGCACTCGTTTTAGATGGATGTATTCCAATTTCCCCAGAAGGAAATCGACTACGACTGAACCCATTGGCAATCCCATCCATCTGAACGTTCCACACACAAAATAACTAACAGTATAATGATGACGTCGCAGTAGCTCGACTTCATGGATCCCAGGTCTCTTGATTAAACTTTTAGATGGTTTCCTTTCTTTGCGCGGTGATTAGTTGGAAACGTCTTATGCCGATTTGGTTGGTTTGAAATACGTTTCCGAACAACACTATACAACTCCATTTCACACCAATGACAGTTGCTGAAGCAAGTGTGCATACCTTCTAGTAATACAACGTAACAATTTCAAGTTACATTCATACTTTGCCATTAAAATGTCTAGTTATCAAATGGCTGTTCTATAGAATCATTTATCAGTGCGTTAAACTTCTCATTTCGCGCATTTGTAGCTCTCATTTACCCGGAAAATATGAATGCGGAATTACATTATAACCAAAAGCATTTTCTGCTAACCGTTCATCCTACCCTAAGCACTCTGTCTTCCATGAACCTTACTGCTCAAATAGCTCATGAAAGCTCTTTCAAGAGTAAATTACAATCTGAAATTTTAAACAACTTACTATTCACTGAATGAAAGCTAACTACAATTCCAACTAAACTGATATTTGGAATTAAATAAACTTTTTACTTTGTACGTAACTTAATAAGAACCAACCAGTCACAATTAATTATTCGTATTCTGTCACTTTACGTCATTCAAAGTTGTTAGAGACGATCATCAACATGAAATAAGATAAAATTCCCCTTGTGACAGACAAATTTGAAATAAGTGAAAAAAAGGAGTCTATCATAAGAAAAAATTTAATTAAAATAAATATAAATGCCTTTAACACAGTTAAAGTTATTACCAACCTGGGTAATATTATGAAAGTACAAACAAAAGAGGAAAACAAATATAGGTATATTATAGCAAATGTAAAGTACTATGGCAGTCAAAAGATTTAAGTAAACAGGTCAAGGTAAATAAATGATAAATTTCCGCTTGAAAATAAAGTCAAAATTGCACAAAATTTCTAAACACAGTGATTTCAGTCAAAGAATTTCCCCCTTAAGATTCAAATATACAGTCTAATAGAAAGACACACTAATGATTAAAGGAATGTATGCTAAGGTTATTCGTATATATATAACAGGAAGTAACAAAGAATCTAATGAAGTCATTTTAAAAATTCAGCTTGACATCTTGTGAAGATAAATAGTGGAAGAAAACAAATTAAAATAAGTGTATTACTCTGAGGAAAAAGAGAGAAATTCTATATAATTACTGTTTAGAATCTGATTTACCTCGACCAGATTTTGTCTTACGTCTCCATAAAGTAGCAAATGGTCGAACAAACGAATAATTTCGCGGTAAACTTGTCCTGAATGTATCAGTCGTTTCAGTGTTTAATTGAAATGATTCTTTCAAGTTGAAAACTACACAAATATAAGATTCACAAAAAGTAAATATTAGTTTTCAATGTCGATTTGTAAGTAGACTGAAGCCAACATAATAAAGTATTATGCAAATAATCTGTAATACATTGAACAATCATTATTTAGACAATTAATTAATCAACAGCCGCGTAAAAATATCCTCCTATCTGTCCTAAATGAACTACAACCGAAATATTCAGATAAAAATATGATTTTAAGACTTACTTTCTTTATTATGAGTGCAATCGAAATCATTCACTAAACCATTACCAGTAGATTTAGGAAAACGATTAGATTCTAGAGAAGTTTCTTCAATCATAGATGACAAACGATCAGAATCACTAGACTTCATACTACCATTACAATATCTATACTTATCGATTGAACAAGGAATTGAACTTGTAGTTTCACAAATAGTACTTTTCGCACATTGATTATGAATGTCTGAACGTATCGAGTGACCAGTTAAAGCTTCAATACGACTCCAACGATTTATACGTTCTTGAACTTCACTTTCAAGTTGATCCAAAGCTTGTCTAGAAAAGAAGGTAATAATCAAATACAGTATACTAGGCTGTACATTAAATAATAAATTACTGTAAAATAAAGATAATGACAAAGCTTAGATGAGATACACTCAGTAAAATTCTTTTTCATGTTCCACAATATTTATTATCGGATAATCGGTTATATGTATATAATATTCATTAACTGCATTAAACAAGAACGTTGTAAAACTATTGACTTCATCGTTAACTAACGTGGGAAGAAATATATTAGACGATATACTTTCCGACAATTTTCTGGAAAATATACGAAATCATAAAAACCTTGTGATTATTACACTAAGTATAAAAAAGGAAAAACTCCGCCTGTAGCTCTTCTATGGTTACTGCCAGTTCCAAACCCAGGTGAAGAAGGGGGGTTTGGCATGGAGTCAGCAACCCCATCCATCGAAAAAGGTTAGCTCAGAAAACGCCAACCAGAACAAACAAATTAAACCACTTAAACTCCTCCCTGACACATGAAGGATTTTCTTTCAGAAGAATTATGACACCTCATGGCGAAAGCCAAGATTCTTCGGAAGTCACAAGGCCAATGTCTCTTCTAACAACCACAGCAACAATCAATATGGTTACATAAAATTTTCGGACAATGTGGGAGGATCAAACAAATAGCTAAGGAAATGAGGAGACGCAACCAAAAGAACACAACAATTTGCAAAATTTATTAATAATAAAGAGTAAGTAGTATGACTCTCAATAATATCCCAGAGGGTTCTCATAACTCATGAATTACGCGAAAGTAACGAATTTAAAAAAAACATCGTATAGGAAATCCTACAAGCTAATATGCATTTTAAGCCCATAGTACCTGGTTACACTGCAATAACTCAGTGGGAACACCAATGGTCTCAAAGCACATAGAAACAAAACAGTCTGTCAGTAATGGAAATAAAAGGAAGGTTTCCGAGAGGAATAAGACGAGATGCCACATAAAATGATAAATACTTGTTATCTGGAACAGTTAAATCCATTAAGGAAAATTCCTAGGTTGCTTATCTACGAGAGAAGTGTTGGATCCATGAAAAGAATTGAATAAAACAAGAACAAACTATTAAGCATCAGTCACAAAAACACAACTAATAAACTTCCAATATTTTACTATTGATCTTATTTCGCAAACATATATAAATATTCACTCTAACAATACACAAATTCACCTATAATTGTTAGAGAAAGAGTATTAGAAGTACAGATTTACGAACAATCATTCGTTACTCTACGGATGCACCGCAAACTCAAAGTTCGAGAAATTCTGTTATTCACACATGTGATTCCACATTGCTAAATAGATTCAAAATACTGAACACATTTTTAGTCCTAGTACAATAATTACCAGGTAAATACACATAAATCTTTTTTGTTATATTGAATTGACCACAACACATCAAGTTAATCATGGTGTTTGCATATGACACAATAAAGACATTAAACCAGTACTGACCTAATAAATTTACTTCAATCAGATCACAAACTATTTTAATTCAGATTTTTGTTTGTAATTTATCTATTTTAAATTAGTTGACCCATTTTTTAAAAGGATTTATGTACATTACGTGATTTCTCACTGATCATTCTTTTGTGTGCTTTTGAGAGGAAATTTTATTATTATTTTGATTAGTAATCATATTGATAGTGTTCAAACCCAGTAGACAGGTTACATGATCACTAATGAAGAACTGAGAGATACGGCTAACCTAATATGATTATTCTATAATTCAAAGAGCCGTAGTGAAAACTGAAGATCTATGTGTGTATTACTTTAAACTGAATCTTAAACATTTTGATTAACAGTTCATTTTGCATTTACTCCGATCAAGACCAGAGTCAACAAATTTTTCTACTTTCCGAATTCGGACTTATTCAGAGTTTAATAGCGTCTAAACAATTATTACTACAAATCTATAAAGAAACAAAACTTTATGCTTAAACAGGAAATATATATATATATATATATATATATATATATATATATATATTGTGTATCATAAATAACGATAACTTACTTCGCACTAATCAAACGATTTTCCAATTCATCCAAATTTATCGCATTTACTAGTCGAACTGAACCAAAAATACCATAACGTTTACGCATAAAACGTCTACACTAGGAGCAACAAATACATAGGCCAAAGGTTAAAAATTGTGTTCTGTTGAAAATTAAATACAGTTAACCCAACCAAAACTGAATGGAAACACATAATTGTTTGATAACATCAGTAACAGCTAAGCTACATCATACGTAGTAATACATGATGCAGCTTTTAGAAAAACTTACACATAGTATAGTTATAAATTATATTATGGCCATAAAGAATAATAATGAATTTAATAACAAAATGAAAATATCACTTCTCTTTTGAATTGAACAACTATTGTAAAAAAAATAATATATCTCTAACTAGTTCTATGACAGAAATACTAGCAAGTTTATCTAACTAATTTCTCTCGGATCGATATTCGTATTAAATACATCATCTGAAATAGTTGTTCTCAAATTAGAAAAATTATTTGAAAAAGTTTTTATTTATCTACATTGAATCTTACCATTGAAATTTCCATATATTTTTTTCAAATCAGAAACACAATAACACTAAAAAAAAGGTTTTATCTAGTACTCATAATAATCTTAAACAGTCAAAAAACAATATATGGTAAACAATTGTGTATTATTTTAGTATGCAAATAAACTGATTTGGTAAACAATTCGTTATAAGATACATATCCGTAAATTTTATACTCTCAATGTAACATTTCATAACTTTCATTCATGTAAGCTAACGACACATCAATTTAACTCAGCGCTAAGCAAACGAAAATACCAATCAACTGTATAACTTAAATGTGTTATTCTACCAAAGAGACTATTATTTTCTTATTCTTAATTGATCGGCTAAATGTCAGCTGATTGTATTTGGTCATACGACGGAAACTTTGTCAATTTCCTAGCCATATATGACAGATAGAAGTATATTATAGACAGATTGTTGATTAAACATTAAATACTGCTACCACGACATGTTACTAAACAGAAGTGATGAGATAGCTATGTAAACTGAGTTTATATTTTATTCTTATCGCTAATTGTAAAATAAAGCATATTTACAAACATGAGGGAATTGAAGCATCCACGGAAATCTGAAACAACATCGACTTACTGTTTTTCCAATAGGTTATTCATACTGTGAATGACTCTATGTACAAGTGCATTTGGACCAATGGATAACAAGAGAAAAACCATTGTCATGTTAACAAAAACAAATCTTGGATTAAAAAATTTCAATATCTGTTATCTCTAACTGTTCGATATTAGACAAAGAACAATAACATTTTTAATAATCGAATCAAGTAGTTATCGTCCAAGTTTGATCCATGCAAACTGGTCTACGCTAAGGGCTACAAATGATGGTGGTCACCAATCAGTGGAGTAAAAACATTTTGAGTTATGCAGAAATAGGTGTTAACACTTGGCAGTCGAAAAATAATATAATAAGTAGATAAAATAATAATTCAGATAGATTAAAATAATAATTTAAGAAAATTATTAATAAATTTAATTACAGATTGACGAGCAAAATCCAGTTTCTTTTCAGCTTTCATTCTTTTTTCACAATAACGTTTAAGTTCCAATTCATAAGTAACTTGTAGCCAATGTCTAAGTTCATAATAGGGTTCACCTAGATGGTATTTATTACAAGGATTTGTTGATAAAGTAACTGGTGAACAAAACTCATTTCCAGAACTTCGTCCCTTCAAATTTAGAATTTTGCGACATTGTAAATTACGTATTTGATCTAAATTCAATGGATCGTTTGCTGAGTATATATTATAATTATTCAAGGAATTCGGATGTAAAGAATCATTATATAAGTCAGTAGACAAACTGAATTCAGCAATTGACGACGGTATGTATGATGAATGATCGTATGATTGTTTATGAGTATTAAGACTATCTTCATTCAACGCTTCCATACTTTTAAGATGAGGCGATGACAAATTATCCCTTTTCATACTCTACAAGACAGTCGAGTGCAAATGAGAAAAAACAAAACAATATAAAACCATACAAGTGCAGATATTGTATGAAATAGTTAGCGATATGTCGTAAGACTAAATAGACTGAAAACCACTTCTACCCTTGAATATCTACGCAAAATGAGAAATAAATGGAAAAGAAACAAGAACTACAGTGCATAGCTTAAAAATACTTTTACTTTAACTGATACTTCGCTATTTTAGAAAATCATTATCAAAGCTCTAGATTATTCATTCACGGAGGATACTGTCAAGCAGTAATAAATATTTTGTAAATGAGAAATTACAAAATAACCGAGATTCCATTTCAGTCAGTCAGCTACAACGTAGATTTAATCTTCCTTTAATAAATTAACGAATTAAGTGTATACAACGAATTTCGGATGGAATATGTGAACACCCATTTACTTTAGTAATACTCTTAATAGTTTTTAATTTCTATCCACTTAACCATATTAATAGTGACAATAAAAAATGGTGCACTAAATTAGGAATTTTAAAAAATTCAACGAGTTATATTTCATGAAAACACGAATAGGGATTCGATGTTTATTTTTACTGATTTGTATAAATTAACTTGACTAAGAAATCCTTTAGATTTTAGCTAGACAAATCAGTAAACTATGGATAAGAAAACAGAGTAAAAATGAACATTTTAAAAGTAAAACATAACAGGAAGCTATCATGTATGACAGAAAACACGTAGCCGTGTATGAAACGATATCGTAGGAATATTACACAGTTGAAAGATATGCTTTCATCTAACGCTAAATTTAATGGTAAAAGATGTTCGAAGACTGGTTAACTGACCAAAGATAGACTTATTTACTAACTGTAAGATATGTCTACCCAAACCTTGACAAGTAGGACAGTGTTTGGACTCCGACTGCATTGCATCAAATTGGAGCTACAATAAATTTTCAGTTGCTGGAGATAGGACTATAAAATTTCTGGGGATAGTGCAAATGTGTCGTTGGTTTTCTGTATTACTGCACTACATCCTGGAATAGCGTCACAATAATATCATACATAGAACTTAGTTCAAAAAACTACTTATAACATAAACTTAGAAGTTGCTTTTAGTTTAATGGACACAGAAGTTTTAATCTCACCTTAGGAGCTGATGATGACGCAAAATGTTGATTTACTTCATAAGCATTCAACGTTTGCCTTAATTGCTCCACATCATCTAACCTATTTAATTTTGTTAAAACAAATACACAATAATTACATGTCGGAAGGAAAATTGTGAAACATGATATATTACTGGAATTTTTGAATAAAGTTGTATTCTAATATTAAATGTTTTCTTGTTATATTCCAATGAAAAGAAAAATTGCATTTCTGACATTTCGTGACTCAATGTAAGGCACTTCTTCGGAGTAAACAAATAATTGGATTAAATTAACACAAGTTTAAATAGTACTATGTCAAAATTGACAAACCTAAACTTTAACATTTGCGAGACATCAATACGCTAGAAACAATAGTAAATAATACGAAATTTTTCGTACAACCATGCTCCAAAATGTAACTCCAGAATTAAGATTACAATTATTTGAACGCTACAGAGACCATTTACTAGATCAAGAGTTTGAAACCCACAGTGTCTGAAGAACCACCAGCTAGCACATTACTATTATCCCACCGTTGCTGCTACCTTGACGTGGTAGTCAAGATTACCTATCGTAGTGGATCAATCGGGCCATACTGGCTGGGACAATCGTTCCTCGAGGACCTACGATACCAGACAGATCGGTAATAATAAAAGCGGCAACCCACAGTCCAAGGGAGATGCTATATACCTGGCTGTACTGAGATGTGACAGCAGTAAAGTGTTTCCTTCAGACAACCAGCATGACAGCGATTATGCCTCCTCCCAACGGAAAGAAGGGGTTAGAAGAGCTCGACACCAAGAATATCACACCTCACATTGCTCAATGGATATCCATCTCTGATGGCAAGGTTTTAACAGGTACAGAGCTAACACAAAAAGGTCGTGCACGACCGACAACAATCAGTTGTCCCTTGGGCACTGCGGTCACGCTCTCAGGTCACTAAGACTACCTGTAATCCAATTTCCTTTTCAGGCACCTCCAGAACAACCCTTCCACGGTGTGGGCAACCGGGAAGTGATAACCGTCCTCATACCTCTAACAGCACTCAAGACCACTGTATTCATAATCAACCTCCCTCTTCAATTCCTATTATTCCTCCTACATCGACTTTCACCATTAAACTTCCTCGTTCGGCTTCCCCCTCAAGTGTCACCACAGCCAACGATTCTAGTGCGCAAAACACTGTCCCAGGTCTACTGAAACCTCGCTCCAAACTACACATTGGAGCCTTCAATGTACGCAATCTATGTCAAATCGTTCAGCAGGCTTCCTTGGCTAAAACCCTAGAGTCTCTTTCCATTGATGTATGCTGTGTCTCCGAAACACACATACAGAATTCCAGTGTGGTCATTCACTTGACCTCACCTCGGCAAAACGGAGAGCCAACGAGATACACCTTCCGTGTATCTGGTGACTCGACGGCCAGCTCTCGTGGACTGGCAGGAGTAGGCATAGCACTAAGCATGAGGTCGGAACAAGCACTGTGAGAGTGGATCCCCGTTAACAGTCGTTTATGTGCTGTTCGGCTAAACGGCTCCGTAAGAACTCGGAAGGATAGGGAGACACGTCGTTGCCTTTTCGTCGTTTCTGCCTACGCTCCCACTGACTGCAGCTCAGATGAAGTGAAAGATGAATTTTACAGAAAGCTATCTGAACTTCTTCAGAAAGCTAAACGTTCAGACATAGTACTCGTAGCAGGTGACTTTAATGCCCAGATAGGTAGTTTAAACCAAACAGAAAGGCATTTAGGTGGGTATTTCAGTATTCCGGCTCAGCGAACAGATAATGGTGGTCGTCTGCTGCAACTGTGCTCAGACAATCGTTTATTTTTAGCAAACACTAATTTTAAGCATAAGGAGAGACATCGTCTAACATGGCGACCCCCTACACCAAACCAACGATGGACTCAAATAGACCATATTGCCATCAGTCATCGTTGGAGAGGGTCGGTAAAAGATTGTCGCTCATTCTGGAGTACCTGCTTGGACTCCGACCACGCCCTAATACGGGCACGCATCTGCTTGCGCCTCACTGGACGCAAAAAAGCCTCGGTAAAAAGACCCATTAGAACTGAATTGAGTAGCGAGAAAACCAAAAGTAGGTTCCAGGAACAACTGAGGTCACACTTAGGTAGTTCTGAAAACGAGGTTGACCCAGATGTTGCTTGGAAAGCTATACAAACAGTTGTGGAAATAGCAGTGACATCTATCAGTGATTTAAACCACAGGGTTACAAAGAACCAATGGATTTCCTCTAGGTCTATTACACTGATGGATTCTCGTAAACTCATTCCATCAGGCTCTGAACACGATGAAGAGCGACAACAAATCAGATCTAGTTTCACCAAAAGTCTAAGGAACGACCGTGAGCAGTGGTGGGCAACGAAAGCAAAAGAGATGGAAAAGGCGGCGACTATAGGGAACACAAGACAGCTCTACAAACTAAAATAAACTGGAATTAATAAGTCAATTGTAAGTCAGACTATTTCGGAAAAGGACGACACCCTCATCTGCTCTCAGTCCAGACGTTTAGAACGATGGGTGGAACATTTCAGAGAACAGTTCAGCTGGCCTTCAGCTACTCTACAACTACCCTCCATTCCCAGACAGTATGAATGGAACATTGAAACAAGCTCCCAAAATCTAATTAAAGTTCAAAAGGCTATAGCTAATCTTAAACGAGGAAGAGCAGCTGGTCCATATGGATTGGCTGTTTACTCGAACATTACCAGTCGAGTCAGAGAAGACTACTTCACTCCGTATCCTTGACATAAGATATGTAAATTGTAAGTTCCAATGTGTAGTTTGGAGTGAGGTTTCAGTAGACCTGGGACAATATTTTGCGCACTAGAATCGTTGGCTGTGGTGACACTTGAGGGGGAAGCCGAACGAGGAAGTTTAATGGTGAAAGTCGATGTAGGAGGAATAATAGGAATTGAAGAGGGAGGTTGATTATGAATACAGTGGTCTTGAGTGCTGTTAGAGGTATGAGGACGGTTATCACTTCCCGGTTGCCCACACCGTGGAAGGGTTGTTCTGGAGGTGCCTGAAAAGGAAATTGGATTACAGGTAGTCTTAGTGACCTGAGAGCGTGACCGCAGTGTCCAAGGGACAACTGCTTGAGGTTGGTCACACACGACCATTTTATGGGTAATTTTTGTGTTAGCTCCGTACTTGTTGAGACCTTGCCGCCAGAGACTGATATCCGTAGGATAAGGCGAGATGTGCATGTTTAGTGTCGACCTTTTCTAACCGCACCCCTCCTTGTGGGAAGACAGCATCGCTGTCATGCTGGTTGTCTGAAGGAAACACCTTACTGCTGTCACACCTCTGTACAGTCAGCAGTACGACTTCGCCTTCCGACCTTAGGTTTGTTGCTTTTAGTCTTACTGCTCTTCAACCGACCTGTCTGACATGGTAGGACCTTGAGGAACGGTCGTTCCAGCCAGTATATCTCGGTTGCTTCATCACGATAGGTAAGCTAGATCACCACGTCAAGGTAGCAACAACGGTCGGGTCAGAGCTTATGGCGAACAGTCATCTGCTTTCGCGACCTCAAGTAGTGTCCGTCAATGCTGTCCACTTTCTCCATTTTCATTAGTTTCCTTACACATCTACTGCTGGAAATAACGTTCTCGTCGGCTGAATTCTCGAGCAGTGATCTCTTTTCAGAAGACCCACTTATCGACTTATAATACAGAGATGACACAGTACTGTTTGGTGAAGAGCTGATAAAATGCAGTGTTTAGGTAGCAGCACTGATCAACAATCTGAGGATGTTTGGAGTGCGTTTCTCCCCCTCTAAATGCGAATCGCTACTTCATGACTGACCTGCGTCAATACCTGAATTAAAGATGAGGAGTGAAGTAGTCGAACGCGTCAACGTCAATTACCTTGGAAGTTTGATCAACCAGAATGGTTTGCTGTCTGAGCAAATCTCTGCACGGACTCAAAAAGCTCGTTCGGCATATGCCAGCTTACGTCACCTAAGGCGAAGGAGAAATATCCGCATATAAATTACAGGACGAGTATACTGCGCGGCAGTTCGTTGTGTTCTAACTTACGGCTGCGAAACGTGGCCATTAAGAGTAGAGGATACTAGTAATTGATCATAGATGTTTAAGAAATATTGTCAGCATCTGCTGGGATCACCGGGTAAGTAATAGTGAGGTTAGACGCAGGGTATTAGGGAATGACGGTAATTCAGTTGATGAGGTGGTTAATATTTATCGACTGAGATGCCTGGGCCACGTAATACGTATCCCTAACTACCGACTACTACGGTATGCAATGCTGACTAGTGCTGGTAACGGATGGAGGAAAGTTAGGGGCATCAGTCCATAAAGTCAATAACTTTCGGTCTGAGCCACGTTGGTAGATGCAGACTACTTGGCTGGAGTCCGTACGACTATCATAACCAATGGTTGGAGTCTCTGTGAGATATGGCTCAGAACCTATCACAATGGTGTAGGTGTATACACTCTTTGTCCTCCCTTAGACCATGGGATTACCATTACTTTACACCTTTTTTGTAGGAAGCAATTCTCTCTCCCTGTATCATATCCTTGTATGAAATTTTTTTAATACCATTGAATTAACTGCTTCAATAAATTTTGCGTTCGTCATGTTGTGCTAATGAGGTATGGAAACTTGGACCGATGTACATATGTGCCTGGCACTATGTCGTAGTTAACCGATCGTTATTACAATTAAACTTAGTGACTACCCCCCATACATTAAAAACAATAAATAACATAAAAAGCAACTACGGTTCAAATTCATTCCCGCCCGTCTTCATACAATTAAAATATTTTTCTCATCCCTTCCTCCTTTGCATTCATTAAAAAAATGATATCGTTTATATTAGTTTTCTAATCAAATTTTTAGATCTAATATACTATTAGAATAGAACATTCCTACAGACTTTGTTTAAATTGGAGTATTACAGAGTTATCCTACAAAGACTGTGATTTCAATACATAAATTTGTGATATAAAGTAACTTAAGAAAATTGATTATTCTAAACCAGCGAAACAAATCTAACAATTTTTTTAACATTAAGTAATGATTCGAGCAATACAAGGGTCTGCTACTTGATGTATTGAACACATATTTGGTTAACATTTGAAACTACTGCAGTATCATCTAATATACCGTCAAAATTTATGATTAAAGGTACAGAAAAAAACTGTCTTAATGTTGGACACAAACGATGGAAATTATGTACCATATAGGGACTAGACAAGCATGACATTGATCACCACCCAGTGATCAATCAATTGTGATTACATCTCAGTCCTACAGGAGGTTAGTCACGGCTCGGATAGCTCAGTGGTAACGTCTCTGACTGTGAAGCTGGGTGACACGAGATCGAATCCGCCAGGGAGCACCAGTTCCCTCAAGATTACAGGTACACCTTGCTGACGAGTGTCAAGTAGCACGAAACCCGGGTCCAGGGTTTCCTGTTGACTACCTCCAACCACCATCTAAATCTCAATACATAGTGCCCGCAGTGTCAAGTCACCTAGACTGGTGGCCACATTGCAACATGATCGATAGCATTCGATCTGCACTAATAAGGACTAGACAAGCATGACATTGATCACCACCCAGTGATCAATCAATTGTGACCATATCAAATATACAGATTCAGGGTGTTCGATTTGTTTTAAGAATTAAGTAAAAAGGTACCATAATAAGTTCAGTCGTTATATCAAGATTAAATTCATTAGTGATGTAACTAGCATCACTGTGAATATATCAAATCTGGTTACAGAGAACCTAACTGTAGCATATTTTAAGAGATGAAATGATATATTTTGAATCTGTACGTGTTCATCTGCTACCATGAAATTAAAATGGTTTAAAGAATATCGAAATTCTATCGACTTCTGACACAAAAGTATACAAGCCCTGAACCAAATAATAATGAATAAACCTCACACTACAAAGAGACCAAAATAAACTGAGTAACAAGAAAATCCTTATAAACACTTGAAAACAAAATCACATGCGTCATTCTTCCACATTATCTTGCATTGAATCATTGCATCAAATTAATGAAGTGGAAGTGTGACGACGGACCACCGGTGAACTCGAGGAAGCTGTAAGAGACTCAGATGGAACCGAAGACGTTCCATCCAATCACTTTTCGGAAGAATATTCTAGAATTCCCACGTGTAGCTTTCCGATTGGATAATGCTAATAACCCCCTGTATGCGCATTGGAGAAATGTAATGATGATTTCGTTCTCACTAAAAACTATAAATACCTGACAATTTCGTACTATGATTGACACTGTTTAGAATAATATTCCTCTCATTAGTCTTCTGTCTTCTTATTGCGACTTGGAAGGGTTTTGGTGTTCCAGTGTTCTGTTATACGCGGTATATCACGAAAACAACTTTCAAGATATAACAGGAAGTCATATACTTGATTTTTTTTCATCATCACCTCTATGTTTAGTAAAACTAGTTTCTTCAATAATAAAGAAAATATATCGACAAAAAGTCACTCCATATTATTATTATTATTATTATTATTCACATAAGTAACCGACCTTTTTTGAAGTTGTTTTAGTGTTTGTTCAGCAACATTTAATTTTTTCTGATTTTCACCAACGGGATTTTTCTCCGAAAAACTTGATGCATGGTAGAACCAATGAGAAAAGCCCACAAACGAAACGCATAACAATCCTATTGACAATGTGACTAGAGAAACATTTCCTGACACAAGTACTGGCTCTGTAAGTGAAATAGTTGAATTACGCAATGAACAACTGGCAAAAAATATTAGGAATTCTGTCGTCTACTGAAAATATCCTGGGAATGTGAAAAAAATGATTGTGGGGGAAGATCTAACGCTGTATGCAGTAAAAAAGCCAAACATTTTACCTTAATTTATGAAAGATACTTGTACGACATCAACTTTGAATCGATGGTATTTACGTTATTTACGTGGACCGTAGTGATCGGGATAACCTAATAGTGATGACTCAACCCAGATAGATTGGCTGGAACACATGTTGCTTTAGGCCCTACCATACCAGGTAGGTTGTTTGGAGAACGGTAAAACCAAAAGCAGCAACACAAAATCCAAGGGTGTAGTCGTACTCCTGACTGTAGAGAGGTGTGACAGCAGTAAGGTGTTCCCCTCGGACAACTAGCATCTGCAGACATGACGACTTCTAACGACGGAAAGAATGGGTTAGGAAAGGTCGATCCTAAAAATATCACACCTCACTTTACCCCACGGATTTCCGTCTCTGGTGGTAAGGTCTTTAGAAGTGCGCAGCTAACATACAGAAAACTCCCCATAAAGAAGCCATGCACAACTGACCTCAAGCAGTTGTCCCTTGGGTTCTGCGGTAACGCTACTAAATCGACAAGACTACCACTGATTCGCCTTCTTTATCAGGTCCATCAACGAAAAATATCCTTCAGACGTATGTGCAAACGGGAAGTCACAACCGCCCTTATACCTCTTACAGAACCCGAGATTATCCTGTTGACGATCGAATTTCTCCCATACCACTTAATAATTCTTCCATCTACATGACTAACCCTTGACATTCACCTTCATACACACGCCCCACCAATGATTTGAATCCACCAAATTTTATTCCTGATCTCCTGAAATTACGCTCTAAACTACATGTTAGAGCTTTTGATGTTCAAACATAGTCAGACAGAACGATAGGATTTTTTAGCTAGGATTCTAAAATCGCGTGCCATCGATGTATGTTGAGTCTCCGAAATGCGCATACAGATTCTAAGTACAGACCCTCATTTGACCTCACCTTGTCAATACACAAAACCAGCACAATTAGCCCTTCGAATATCTAGGGACCGCACTGCCACCTCCAGCATCATCGCTGATGTGGGTATAGCACTAAATAGAACAGGCTCCGTTAGACTGTATTCCAATAGACACTCGACCAAATTGAACAATGAGAACTCAGAAAGTTAGGAACACACGCCGTTGCCTTCTAGTAGTTTCTGCCTGCACTCTCACAGATTGCTGCTCGAACGAAGATAAAGAAGAATGTTATAGGAAGCTATCCAACCTCCTCTGAAAAGTCAAATGCACTGATGTAGTAATAACGGCAAGTGATTTTAATCCCAAATTACGTAAACTAAACCAAAGCAGAAGGCACTTGCGTGGATCCTACGGTGTTGAGGCTCAGCGAATAGATAACGGTAACAGTCCGTTGCAACTAGATTCAGATAACCGTCTATTTCTGACAAACATCAACTTCAAACATAAAGAGAAATGTCTGAAGTAGCGAATTACACAGTCCACTCATCGATAGAATCAAATAGACCACATTCCCATCAGCCATCATTGGACAAACGCGACAGAAGACTGGCATTCATTCAGGAGCACACGTTTGGACTCGGATAACGGTTTAGTTAGAGCACGTATTTGTCTGCGTCTCATTGAAGGTAAAAGTGAAAGCAGCAAAATTCCTAAGAGTTCTACTTAGTCCTGGAAAATTCAAGAATATATTTCAGGGACAACTGCTAGTCAACCGTCAAAATCATATCCACCACGAGATAGCTTGATACGATAAACGAAATGCTGTGGAAACGGCAGTGATAACCACCAGAAACTTAAACAAAAATGTTAGGGACAACCAGCCGATTTCAGTGACGTCTACAGAACCGATAGATACTAAGGATCTCATCCTATCTGGCTCCGAAGACAATGAGGGGCTGAGACAGCCCAGACGTAGGCTGACTAAAAGCCTACACAGTGATCGTGAACAATGGTGGGTAACAAAAGCAAAAGAGACGGAAAATCTGCGGCTACATGTAGCAACAGACAACTACTCAGTTATCGAGGAAACCGGTATTAAAAATCTGGCTATTAGTGAAACTACCTCGGGAAAAGACAGGAATATCACTCACTCTCAATCCATGAGATTGGATCAATGTGGAGAACACCTTAGGGGACAGTTCAACTAGCCTTCGATCACACTTCAGTTACCCACTATCTCCAAGTAACCTGAATCGCAAACTGATGTAAGTCGTCCTACTCAGTGAGTTTGAAAAGACTAAGTAATCTAAAGATAGGGAGATCAGCTGAGTCTGATGGACTAAGCCCTGAGACTTTTACGGATGGTAGTCCAGTTTTAGCAGTTTGATTAACTGAGATCTTATTTATTTATTTGGACACATAAATATTGGTACAAGAGGGCACCAAATATATATGCGTCACACAATAATCATGAGAATTGGAAGAGAAGAAGGGAAAAAAAGAAAGGTAAGGAGCGTTAAAAAAAAGGACAATAACGAACAGATTAGTGAAGGGTAGTGTAATAATAATAATAATAACAATTATAATGGGGAAACAGAAACGTACATTCAGAAAGGATCTTTAAGATAAGGAAGAAACAACCAACTTTTTGTGCAGAAAGTAAAGAAGGTTACAGCAGGATCGCCACTGGCTTCTATTCTGAGCCATATTTAATAACGTCTCTAGCCACTGTGTAGCACCATCTCTCAGACGCCAACCAGGGAGTCGTGAAGGTCCAACACAAGCCAGTCCTTTGTAGCTTTCTTTCATACAACGACACTATATCATGCACTGACCACCTCTCCGCTTCTTCCAACCAGTCCCAGAGTCGGCAAATAATGCACGACGTGGAATTCTCTGGGACGACATTAGTAGAACATGTCCAAGCCACCGAAGTCGGTGTTTCAAGATGGTGACACCAATTGAATTATCATCTCTGTGCCCGAAAACACGATGCCGAACCTCTGCATTACTGACATGGTGTTGCCACTGAATGTCAGCAATCCTTCGGAGACAGCGATGATCGAACACAGAGTCGTCTAACGTCCTCAACTCGGAGAGACCAGGTTTCACAAGCATAGAGCAGAACTGCTCTCACCGACGCGTTGTAGATCCGACCTTCTACAGCTAGACCAACATCACGAAGGCGCCAAAGATGGCCCAGATTGGCATAAGCCGCTATGACTTTCACCAAATGTGCATTGATCTGATCACTCACGCCATCACCGGCACTTATGCAGCTACCCAGATACACGAACTTCTCGACTACTTCTATCTGCTCATCATTCAGGGTGAGTACAAGATTAGAATACTGCCAGTCTTGTAGAAGTACTTTGCACTTGGAAGGTGCAAATCACATACTGTACCTACGGACATTAATTGCCGACTGATTAAGTGCGGATTGCATGGCTTGGGCGTTATCGCACACTAAGACAATATCATCCGCATACTCAAGGTCGAGAAGTCTTTCTCCAGACATCCATCAGAGCTGTTTCCAGAATGACATCGATGACAAAGTTGAAGAGGAATGGTGAGATTGGACAACCCTGCCTAACCCCACTGTGTGAACGGCACAATGGAGAGAGGAGGTTGTATGTCCTCACTCTGTCGGAGGTGTTTGTATATAGGGCTTTTAGGATGTTAATAAGTTTCTCAGGTACACCTTTCTTCAATAGACAATCCCAGAAAACAGTCCTAGCCAACGAATCGAAGGCAGCCCTGATGTCAAGAAACACTACGATTGTTGGCCTTTGATAAGTATGACGATGTTCTAACATTCGGCGGAGGGTGAAGATATGATCAGTACATCCTCGACCAGAACGAAACCCAGCCTGCTCTTCGCGAGTCAATCTTTCTCGGGTTTTGAACAACCTACGAAGAATGACGGAAGCCAATAGCTTGAACGCAATCGGAAGTAGACTTATCCTCCGAAAGTTGTTACGGGAACGACGTGAACCCTTTTTAAATATAGGAACAACTATCGACTCATTCCATGACGTTGGTACACTCTCTAGTTCCCAAACCTTTGTAAACAACGCGGTCAGTTGCTTAGTCAGAAAGTCACCACCATCATTAAAAAGAGCCGGAGGTAAGTCATCTGGGCCAGGTGATTTGTAGCGCTTCAAGAGTTGGAGTTCCTTGCGTGCTTCCGGCTCGTTTGGTGGATCAGTCGTCACCGGCCATGGAGGGCAGGACAGTCTGACCGATGTTGCCGGAGCAGCAGGCCAGTTGAACTGCACTTGGAAGAATTCTGCCTATCGTCACAGACGATGGATGTTGGTGATTGGCGTCATGAAGTTGCAACCAATGCTCATCTATACTTTTTGGTGGAATGGTAGCTAGCCTAGAAGCCAACTCGATTCGATACATACTTGCAACAGAAGTTGCAACCAGCTTGCTAACATCAATCCGTTGGTGGCGGTCACTTCGTTGTCCACTGAAAAGTAAGGTAAGATTGGCGCAAATCAGGGCATGATCAAAGTCCAGATAGGTACTCCAAAATGAGCGGAAGCTTTGTACACAACCACGCCAGCGGTAGCTGATCGCGATGTGATCAATCTGAGTCCAGGCTTGAGATGCAGAGGGAGGATGCCAGGTCGCATATCGACGATGACTGTTGAAAGTTAGTGCTAGCCAGAAACAGGTTGTGGCCTGTGCACAGTTGCAGTAGACGGTCCCCGTTATCTGACCTGCGACAAACAAGTCCCCATCGGCCACCTAAACGACTCTCTTCTGTGCCTAGACGCCCGACCTGAGCATTCAAGTCTCCGGCTAGTACTACAATATCTGTCGAACACACTTTCTGGAGAAGAACAGATAACTGGTGGTAAAACTCATCCTTGATTGCATCCAGGCTGCAATCTGTCGGGGCATAGGCGGAGATGACGAAGAGACATCTAATAGCACATAATCGACTGTTAATGGGGATCCAATCGACTAGTGCTGC